GTTTATGCAACATATCTAGACTACGAACCTTAATAATAACATCACATTTACTTACCTTTATGATCTATTTGTACTAAAAACACACCGAATCATTAATCCACCTGTTTTTGTAGCGATTTTCTAACCTAGAATACGCCTGAGTGTGAGAGCGGCGCACTGGCTAATGTAACATTAAAAATACACGATTAGACACGCGTTAAATGTTGTTGGTCCACAAATGAAACCACCGAGCAACAAGTTACAAGCTTTTGAATAAGTGGTATATTTTTTGGACCATTACCCCATTGAATCAATTTTTGATCGTACCACTGGTCCTGAAAGAGTTAAGCGATACTTAAACTCCAAGGGATTTCAATGGTCGTGGAGTCCTCCTTTTGATCTGATGCACCAAAGAAATTTTCCAATACATCTTGGTTTAGACGATAAGTCTTCTTGGTTTAGACGATATTTAGATCTTGGTTTAGACGATATTTTATACTTTATTTTTCAGATCTTCAAATAACAATTTCAGCGAACTATTCGTTATTAAAATGCCTCTTTGGAATGGCAATAAACCACGTTTTCCTTTTACCCTTAAATTTGTTATATTTGAAGTCATTTTATCTAAAATAGAGGTCTGTAAATCAATAGATAAACTAAATGCTTTTTTTCTCTCTCTTCTTGGGGCACCCGCGTGTTTAAACAGTGAAACCAGTTATTTACCTATAAACATAAAATATGTATCTATATTGGATATAATATATCCCTGGGTTGACTTTACAAGAGGAAAAACTTTTTTATTATTACATTTTTGGAAAAAATGTATTCTTCATAAAAGTTTTTACTTGTTCTATAATGGTTAATCCCGTTTATCCATTTCCAATTTTCCGTATCATTTACCGTTTCAGGGAAGAATAAAAAAATATGAAAATAATTAATGTTGAATGTTTTTGTCCCAAAAGTTCCAAAAATAAAAATGCGTTTCTGTGGTAATCTAATTTCGTTTTTGTTCTTTGATAGATAGTTATTATTAATTTTGATTAACGTTATATTATATATATATATATATATATATATATATATATATATATATATATATATATATATATATATATATATTATATATATATATATATATAAATAATATTTTCTTGCCTTTAGCTGTGTATTTTTCTAATTTCGAAAAATCGAAAGTAGAGAAAATATTTAAAAAAATAAAAAGTAAAGAAAATTGTTTTGCTTGTCGTAGAGGGGGGGGAACCAAGCTCCACTCCCACAACCGGTTTCTGGGCCTACCCTTCATCAGGTGGGCTGTCCAGGGGCTGGTTCTCACCGATACGGCAAGCAAAATTTCTTCTATATCAACAGACGATGTCGTAAAGTGTCGGTGAGATATTAGTGCATCTCCCGTCAAAAGATGGTAAAGAGCGTTTTTCGGCCCGCTCAAATATATGAAATGAACAAAATTTTTACAGCTTTAGTGTATATTAATAAATAATATTTTCTTGCCTTTAGCTGTGTATTTTTTCTAATTTCGAAAAATCGAAAGTAGAGAAAAAATTAAAAAAAAATAAAAAGTAAAAAAGAAAATTGTTTTGCTTGTCGTAGAGGGGGAACCAAGCTCCACTCCCACAACCGGTTTCTGGGCCTACCCTTCATCAGGTGGGCTGTCCAGGGGCTGGTTCTCACCGATACGGCAAGCAAAACTTCTTCTATATCAACAGACGATGTCGTAAAGTGTCGGTGAGATATTAGTGCATCTCCCGTCAAAAGATGGTAAAGAGCGTTTTTCGGCCTGCTCAAATATATGAAATGAACAAAATTCTTACAGCTTTAGTGTATATTAATAAATAATATTTTCTTGCCTTTAGCTGTGTATTTTTTCTAATTTTGAAAAATCGAAAGTAGAGAAAATATTTAAAAAAAATAAAAAGTAAAAAGAAAATTGTTTTGCTTGTCGTAGAGGGGGGAACCAAGCTCCACTCCCACATCCGGTTTCTGGGCCTACCCTTCATCAGGTGGGCTGTCCAGGGGCTGGTTCTCACCGATACGGCAAGCAAAACTTCTTCTATATCAACAGACGATGTCGTAAAGTGTCGGTGAGATATTAGTGCATCTCCCGTCAAAAGATGGTAAAGAGCGTTTTTCGGCCTGCTCAAATATATGAAATGAACAAAATTCTTACAGCTTTAGTGTATATTAATAAATAATATTTTCTTGCCTTTAGCTGTGTATTTTTTCTAATTTCGAAAAATCGAAAGTAGAGAAAAAATTTAAAAAATAAAAAGTAAAAAAGAAAATTGTTTTGCTTGTCGTAGAGGGGGAACCAAGCTCCACTCCCACATCCGGTTTCTGGGCCTACCCTTCATCAGGTGGGCTGTCCAGGGGGGGCTGGTTCTCACCGATACGGCAAGCAAAACTTCTTCTATATCAACAGACGATGTCGTAAAGTGTCGGTGAGATATTAGTGCATCTCCCGTCAAAAGATGGTAAAGAGCGTTTTTCGGCCCGCTCAAATATATGAAATGAACAAAATTCTTACAGCTTTAGTGTATATTAATAAATAATATTTTCTTGCCTTTAGCTGTGTATTTTTTCTAATTTCGAAAAATCGAAAGTAGAGAAAAAATTTAAAAAAAAAATAAAAAGTAAAAAGAAAATTGTTTTGCTTGGGTAGAGGCATGTATATATATATATATATATATATATATATATATATATATATATATATATATATATATATATATATATATATATATATATATATATATATATATATATATATACATGCCCGTACCATATGAGTTGACTGTTCTTTATGTCGTCCACTATCGTATGTTTAACTTCCATAATCTCTCTTATGCGTTCATTAGTTATTCGCTCGAGTCTTGATTTGCCTGCTGATCTTCTCCAAAAATCCATCTCTGTAGCTTCCAGCATTCGTTTTGTTGTTTCCTTAAGTGGCCAGACTTCACAGCTGTACGTGGTTATACTCTTTATGATGGTATTGTATATTAGAGTTTTGTTCTTGTTGTTTATGCTTCTGTCTCACAGTATCCCATTCAATACCGTGATAGCATTCCTTCCAAGTTGGTTTCGTTCTTTAATTGCTGTATCCAACAGTCCATCATTTGTGATTTGCATACCCAAATATTTGTATTTTGTGCAGCACTTAATTTTCTTCCCTTCTTCTAGTATTAGATCTTGTTGTTCTCCTCCGATACACATATATTCTGTTTTGTTAGTATTGATCTCGAGTCCCCATTTCTGATATTCTTCTATAAGCTTACGTGTCATATAATTTATGTCATCGTAATCTTTTGCTATGATCACCTGATCGTCCGCGAAGCAAAGTGTGTAGAGCATGTTATCCCCTATGGGTACTCCCATATTTCTACATTTTTGCTTCCAACCTTTGAGAACTTGTTCGAGATATATCTTGAACAGTGTTGGTGAAATACACCACCCTTGTTTCAGACCTTTGGTTCCATTAAATCCTGATGTTAACTTTTTGCCGACTTTTATTCTAGTTTTTGTTTGTTTATATAATGATTTCACTGCTTTTATTAGCTCTACATTTATATTGGTTTTTTCCATAGCTTCCCAAAGTCTCACAAGGGGAACGCTGTCGTATGCCTTCTGCAGGTCCACGAACACAAGATGTAGCTCTTGGTTTATATTGCTCTTTTTACTTATTACTTGAGTGACTGTAAATAAGTGGTCCACCGTCGATCTTCCGGCTCTAAATCCTGCTTGTTCTTCGGCTTCTATTTCTTGGTATTCGTTTTCGATCCTATTTCTCAAAATTTTTCCATATATTCTACTCACGGTGGCTGTTACTGATATTCCCCTGTAGTTTTCGCACTTAGTACGATCTCCCTTTTTGTATATAGTTGAGAGGTAAGCCTCATTCCATTCTTGTGGTACATCCGTTCCGTTTATGCAGTCCTGGAATATTTTCCTTAAGTGTTCGTACAGTTTTTTCGGTCCTGATTTAATTAACTCTGCCGGTATATTTCCCGGTCCGGGTACTTTACGATTTTTTAGTGAGGTATATGCCTTAATTACTTCGTCCATTGATATTCTAATCGGGGATCCCATTGTTTTTATATTTGTCGTCACGTCAGGGCAGTCCATAAATTCGACTCTATTTTCCGTCATAAGATTTTCCATGTATTCTTCCCATTTTTGTGGTGTAATCGGGGAGATGATTTCTTTGCCTTTTCCCTTTCTGACATTTTTTATAAATTTCCAACTTCTGTGCTTCTTCTACCTCCTATATATGTGTTTAGTTGATTACACTTCTTTTCCCATATCAGATTTTTCTTCTGGCATATTTCTCTTCGTACTTTAGCTTGGGCTTTTTTATATATTAGTTTGTCTTCGATCTTCTTGGTGCTCAAGTATTTTGTATATTTGCTTCTTTTATCCTCTATAATATCCTGTATATCCGTGTCCCACCACTAAGGCTTCCTTTTCCTTTCATTATTGTCGATTGTACCCAGGACCTCAGAAGCTGCTTTGTGTATGCATTCCTTGATATAATAATAATGTTTTTCCAGAGTTTCGAAACGTTGTTGTTGTAATTTTTCCTCTAATCTTTTTCTGTATAACATTTGCACGCTGAGGTCCTCGAGCGCTGTTAAGTTGTACCTTCTCTCTTCAATTTCTTTCGTTACATTTTCTATTTCTTTATATTCTATTTTTCTCGTTTATATGGTAGAAATATTTTCGCTTTTAGGAGGTGGTGGTCGCTACCGCATATCGCCCCTCTATATACCCTTACGTCTTGAATCTGTATTTTTGTTTTTTGTTTAGTAATTACGTAATCTATGATAGATCTTAATTTCTTTGTGTCTTGTGTTCACGTATATTTGTGTATGTTACGGTGTTGATAAAATCCATTGAGAATTCTTAAGTTATTCTGTTTGCACATGTCAATTAGTCTTTCTCCATTGTTATTGAGCGTCTCTTCTCCATATTTTCCTATAGTAACATCATTATCACTTTTTCCGGTGCGGCTATTTAAGTCCCCCAACAAAAATATTTCTCTCGTTTTTTCCGGTTTTTATAATCTCATCATTCAACTGTTGGAAGAATGTATCTTTTGAAGCTGTTGGTGAATCATCATTTACTGCGTATACTCCAATGATTGTTAATCTATATCCTCGAATATTCATATTAATCTTAATAATTCTTTCGCTGATTCCTTCCCAGGTTGTAATGTATTTTCTATATTTCCGATGTATCAAAATAGCCACTCCCTGGCCCGCTCTCTTTTCTTTTGGAACGCCGCTATAAAAGTAATCATACATTCCTAAGTTCTCTGATCCTTGACTTTTTTTCTTGGTTTCAGTTAATACTGCTAGGTCAATTTCTAATTTATTTATCCCATATAGTACTTCGTCCATTTTTCTGGAGATACCTTGTAAGTTCCATGTTCCAAAGTGCATTATCCGTTTTCGTTGCTTGGTTCGGCTTCGTATATCAGATCCATTCCGAGGCATTTTGTTTGGCTTTTTAACATTTTTTAGGTTTTCCAGGTATCGAGGAGTTAGCCCGATGCCCCAACCCCCTATCAGGAGGGCCAAGATTTTTCTGTAGGAGTTGTCTCCCTTAGCCGATCTGTTCCAGTTTTAAGGCGCCGGAAAATCGCCTTTCAACCTCTTCCGTTAGCTGCGTAACGTACATCCATTGTACGCCACTCATTGCCCAGTGGTCACGGCTAGGACGTGGAAGTAGGATTTGCTAGTCTGTCTTAGAGACTGCGGGCATTTCTCAGAGTTTTGTTACACGCAAGGCATCGGCAACCATGGGTGCCTCTGAGACCCTCACACTAACCATTAGACCACTAACAGCTTTTTAGCGATATAAGCTATAATATGTTTTTTTTTTGAAAAATTACTGAAAGAATGATGAACTTCGAAAAGCTTAAAAAATGGCGCTTTTTATGAAGTCATGGCCAACTATGGTTTCCATTTAAAAAAATATATGTTTGTGTCATATGTCAAAAATGGCAGGCTTTAGAAAAAAACGGAGGACACAATCTCATTAAGGATGTGATTATCTGCAACTTTTATCTGAAAACATTTTGTCTAAAATGGCTTATAATGGAATTAGGGACAATTCTTAAAATAGCCGAAATTTGTTTTTTTCGAAATATCTAGTAAGCCATGAACTTTTTCAAAAATCTGAAAGGTGCATATTTATGACCCCACAAAACTGCAATTCTTTCCCCATTTAACCGACTCTCTATCTCCTGTAGTTTCCTCTCGGAAGAGATGCAATGCCCATGGAGAACATCGTAGGAAACTCACCCTGTCTATGTATATGTCGTAGTCTCATAGTGTATTCCGTCTTTTCATGAAGATCCTAGTCACTTCATGAAATGTCGGCATATTATGTAAAAGCATGTATCTACATAATCTGCCGGGGCTTTTCATGAAGAGACGACGTTCCTCCGGCATGTAGTGAATTACATTATCGAAGAAACCACCATACAATATAGAGCAAAATTAAATAAGGTAACTATTAAAACTTTTTGAGGTTATGTTTAAGCAAATAAATTATTATCAAAGGCCTTTCAGGAATAAGTTCTCCTGCTCTTTACAATAACTACTTTATTTCATTATAAGGAAATTCATGATTTTGTAAATTTAAGATTTTATTTGAATAAAGCTAAATAAAACATAAAAACATAAATATAAAATTTGCGTTAGTCAAGTCAGACATATAGGGTGGACCAGAATCTATTAGGATGGCCTGGGATCTTTTTTTTTTAATTTTAAGAGCATTTATCAGAAATCAGAATATACAGGATGGAACAACTAAAACGAAACAGGCATTTTCTGGCAGCTCAGTTCTCTTTTTGAAAAACGCTCAGATCCCCGTCGATTTTGTTTTCGAGGGGGACAAAAAATCATGCTTACACGTGGAACCACCTCTAAAATGCGCTACCCTGTATGTCGAATACCCGAGTACGGATAAAGTATTGTAATCAGGTCATAAATCATATTTTCAAAATTTGACGTTTATGTTTCGGAGATCCTTGGACGTGCGAGTGACTGTATTCTTGAAAATGTGTGTATGCTTTAACGTAGAAATTTATTTATTTTTTAAAGATCTTACCGTAAAAATATATCAAAACCTCATATAATTTTTGGCTGATTACAATACTTCCCTACCCGGGAACTAAAATGTAAATGCCGCTAAGTCTCAGCTGCTAGCGCATTTTTTGTTTGCAGATGGCAGATGAAATAACCATAGTTAAAAGCAAAAATTTCACAACCAAAACTAGAAGAGAATATTACCTGTTAAAATCGTATGATGTGGTAAGAATAAATGAAAAGAAAAAGTGTTATAAAAAGGGGTAGCAAATGAAGGCGATCCAATAGTTTGATCGCCTTCGATCGATTTTTACTCTTGTTCCTGAAGAAGAAATATATAACAGGTTGTTGAACATTCATATTAATAAAAAATGTCTATACCTATGTGGCGGATTCATCTCTCCAAAAAATCCTTTATGGGTATTTCGCCACTGCACTGCAAGAAAAATCTACAAAATAAAATAGTTATTTTTTGTAAACACTTCTGCGTTAAACCTAAACGGACGCTTCTTGTAGAAGTTATGTTTACAGTTATAAAAATTTGCCTGACAAAGAAAAAAATGCTTAACGTTTCGGAAAGTTTTCTTTCCGTCGTCGGAAGCAAGAAAATATAAAGAATAAAGAAAAAAAAAACTATTTAAAATATTTAAATTCAACTATTCGAGAACACTTTACTTTATTAAAACAGATACGTTTACAAGAAATCATTGACGTTCTGTTAAAATGACATTATATCAAGTTGATTTATATTATATTAATTGCGGCCATGGATCTAGAAACAAAATGATAAATATTATCCATCAAAATTGTCAAATGTTTGTGCCAGGCTTCAAAAGTACAATGCAGAACCAAAAGATATCAATGTGTCAAAGCAAAGTTGCAGTGTAATTCCCGATGCCACAAAAGTGGTCCGTGCAGTAATAAATTAATAGACATTATTAAATATACATATTATAATATGTATTTAGTACATTTTTACTATTGTACAAGTTTTTTTTTGAAATGTTAATGCTGTTTGTCTTACATACGTATAATAACACCTACATTACGTAGGTATATAATACTGTACTGTTTTTGTTTCTATTATTTAAAATTTATAACTCCACTGAAGCGTATTTCATTTAAATAAATATTTTCTTAGAACATTGAATGCTTGTAGTCAAAGTGATCCACTCTGTATAATGTTGGGGGGGGGTCCCAATATAAAGGTCGCACATTTCATTTTAACATAATATGTCGCATTCTTAGGGCATTTCATGATACTACCACATTTTCAATTAGGCAGATTCTGAAATGCACAATGCGCCGTAATTATAACGGCTGTTCATGAAAAGCCCGGGCAGATTGTGTACACTTATGTTTTTACACAATATGCCGACGCCTGACGCTTCATGAAGTGACTAGGATCTTCATAAAAAGACTAAATACACTATGAGTCTACGACATAATATATACAATTTTAAGGAAGCTGAAAAAAAAACATTTAATGTCATATAATATTTGCAACAAAAATACACTCCTATTGAAATCCAATTAATGTTATCGTTAAATGATATATTGGAAACCAATGAATTCTTATAGTTGAGACAGTGATAGTGTATATTACGAAAGCAATATCATGATACATGTAGATAGGGTTGCCACCTGTCCTTTTTTGAAAAGGACAGTCCTTTTTTAAAAAGGACAGTCCTTTTTTGGAACAAATTGTCCTTTTGACTCTTTTGCCCTAAAATGTCCTTTTTATTTACGCATTTTCCCTCAGAAAACTGTCTATATACGGTAACCAGTAATATTTCTTCCGTCCAAATTTAATTAGACATGTCATAAAACTTATTAATAAATGTTTGTTTTTTAAAAGTCAGAAAACTATTAATTTTTGAGACGTGATTGCAATATAAAAAAGTCCTTTTAACGCCTAGGCATAAAAGTAATGCATTTTTACTCATAAGCACAAAAGTACGAAAGTATATTATTAAATTGACATAAAGTGTATTACTTTTCAATCTTTTTATATTATTTTCAACGTTTGAAATTGTTTAAAAAATTATATGTGATGTTTGAAAAAAATAGCATGTTCTATTCGGAGTAAAAATTACTTTTTGTTTATCGCGACAAAATGTATCATTTTTACTCATAATAAAACAATATACTATTGTTTAGAATCGGCAACATTAAGGTTGGTTCTCACTATACCTTTCATATCAGCTCCCTTCCGTTTGCATAAAATATTGTATCATGTAAATGACTAGCACCTAGGACAATACTCACTATCCGTTCCGTTGCCCTTCCGTTCCATATCCTTTCCTTCCATACCTTTTTTTGGCGGACGGTCTGAAGCGTATCGGAAACAGCGTTGTCAAGTTCTTACATTTGTACCAGCTCTGTTAACATTTTACTGATATTTATTTATTCTTTCAGCCCTTAATTAAATCTATTACCTTTTTTAAAAGATACAAATTTTTAAAATAAAACTTTCGTATTGATATAAATTGTACAATAAAAAGTATGGAACTGCTACGGAACGGAAGCTTACGTATAGCGTCAATATCTTGGTTTACGTAAGTATCAGACAGACCACGCTCCTTAACCTGAAATGAATAATGACTAGGTCAGTGACTCGTATATAATATCTCAATGTTTTTATTATAGGGTTTAATTATATATCTGCATTTAGGAGTACCTACCTCAATATCTATATCCTGGTGTCTATTTGAATTTGACTGTAGATTGTCTGGATTTTCCGTCTCCTTGATGACATTATCAATACATGATTTACTACACTAATCTAAAGGGTTGGTAATCGCAATAAAAAATCTTAAGACATTAGCCATCATTATTTTTTTCTTCAGCAATTTTATGCCTCCTTTTTTTATAGAGATAAGGGGCCTTAACAACTTGTTTACTTTTCTTAATTGCTTCTACTGCTGGTGGTACTAAGGATAGAGGTGGCGCTAATACTGAAAGTATCAGACAGACCAGGCTCTTTAACCTGAAATGAAAAATGACTAGGTCAGTGACTCGTATATAATATCTCAATTTTTTTATTATAGGGTTTAATTATATATCTGCATTAGGAGTACCTACCTCAACATCTATATCCTGGTGTCTATTTGAATTTGACCGTAGATTGTCTGGATTTTCCGTCTCCTTAATGACATTATCAATACATGATTTACTACACTAATCTAAAGGGTTGGTAGTCGCAATAAAAAATCTTAAGACATTAGCCATCATTATTTTTTTACTCTTGGCAGCAATTTTATGCCTCCATTTTTTTTATAGAGATAAGGGGCCTTAACAACTTGTTTACTTTTCTTAATTGCTTCTGCTGCTGGTGGTACCAAGGATAGAGGTGGCGCTAATACTGAAAGTATCAGACAGACCAGGCTCCTTAACCTGAA